ATCTTTAGAAATCGGGGTGGGGAGCAGGAGGTGAAACCTTTGCAGACCAGCAGGTTGAAAGTCAAGGCTGTTGTTACTGTGACAATGACAAGTAGATGCTCAATTGGTTGATGGAGGGCTACTTTCCTTTGGCAGCTCTTCAAATTTTGTGCACACTATGTGTCATCGTTTTCATCCATGTGTCATAGCTTTGTGCTGCTGAAGTTCAGGTTTCTGTTAATCCTAGTTGATGTATGATGTCAGAAATCTTCAGAAATCAGGGTTTGTAGCAGGAGAGGAAACCTTTGCAGACCAACATGTTGAAAGTCAAGGCAAGTAACGTCAAGTTACTGTGACAATGACAAGTAGATCCTCAAGTGGTTGATGGACGGCTGCTTCCCTTTGGCAGCTCTTCAGATTTAGTGCATGCCATGCGTCATCATGTGTCAGCAACTGACATCATCTGCCTGGACTTGTCGAAAGCATTTGTCACTGTTCCACACGACATCCTTGTCTCTAAACTGGAGAGATGTGGATTTGACGATGGACCACTCGGTGGATAAGGAATTGGCTGAACGGTCGCACTCAGAGTTGCGGTCAGTGGCTCGATGTCCAAGTGGAGACCAGTGATGAGTGGTGTTCTTCAGGGGTCATACTGGGGCCAGTGCTGTTTATATCTTTGTCAGCGACATGGGCAGTGGGATCGGGTGCACCCTCAGCACGTTTGCTGGTGAGACCAACTGTGTGGTGTGGTGGGCACACTGGAGGGAAGGGATGCCATCCAGAGGGACCTGGACAGGCTGGAGAGGTGGGCCTGGGAGAACCTCATGAAGTGCAACAAGGCCAAGTGCAGGGTCCTGCTCGTGGGTCGGGGCAATCCCAAGCACAAGTACAGGCTGGGTGGAGAATGGATTGAGAACAGCCCTGAGTAGAAGGACTTGGGAGTGCTGGTGGGTGAGAAGCTCAACATGAGCCGGCACCGTGCGCTGGCAGCCCAGAAAGCCAACCGTGTCCTGGGCTGCACCCAGAGCAGCGTGGGCAGCAGGGCGAGGGAGGGGATTCTGCCCCTCTGCTCTGCTCTCCTGAGACCCCCCTGCAGTGCTGCGTTCAGCTCTGG